GAGTGTACTGCTAATTGTTTGAAAGTAGATACTGTTTGCCAAGTAAAAAGAATAATATTAAGGAATGTCCCCAATCTGAGTAAAATAGTTTTCAGTTGAAAGAACTCAAAACTGTTAGAAATGATTATTGTTATACATATATTTAGCATAGGATTAGTGTTCTTTTTGGCCAAGTTGTAACTTAAGGTTTAATGTCACAAATGACAGGGTAGAAGTGACAGTTCAAGTAAGAAGGACGTGATTGAGCTGACGGACGACACCTTTGATAAGAGTGTTCTTGACAGTGAAGATGTTTGGATGGTTGAGTTCTATGCTCCTTGGTGTGGACACTGCAAAAAGTAAGTGCTTTGTACCAGGTGCCTTTTTAAGTCAGGTGCTTTTAGTCCACGTGGCTCACTTTGAAAGAGCTGAACCAGGTCATAGGTAACCTCCAGGATCTCCTCCCCAAAAGCTCCGGCTCTGCATGAATGTTAAACATCGGCATTAGGGCCGAGTGTTTCTTCTGTCATACTTTCAGTGATTAACAGGGAGCCGGCATCCAGATTTGGGGGGTGTGGCGGACAAAGGACCAGGACGTGAATGTGAAGGGGGCATGATGCCTTTCGTAAAGCTACACACAGAGTGTTTCTCAAGTGTGGTTTAACCGGATTGGGCAGAAATGCACACACCAGTTAAAGTATTTGTGCTTACAGTTAAAATACACTTTTAAAGCGCAGGTATTTTTCTACAGTCTAGAGCCAGAATGGGCTGCAGCAGCTACAGAGGTAAAAGAGCAAACGAAAGGAAAAGTGAAACTCGCAGCTGTGGACGCCACCATTAACCAGGTTCTAGCCAGCCGATACGAGGTGCGTGTGCTTACAAGCCTGATGTCTTCGTGAGATGCCCTGTGTTGTCACCTGCTACACCATCTAGTACTCCTGGGCTCTCTAGGACGTGGGAGGGGGGAGGCTAGCCGTTTTGTAATGACGAAATTAAATCGTTTTACTGTTGTAACAAGTGAATCTGGCACTCAAGACTGTTGGGGGCTTTTTAGTTTTGTTTGTTTTGTTTTCAGTATCGCACTACCTATGTGTTTAATGTGAGCCCAAGCTTTCGCAGGTGATTCGTACAGCTTTTGAAGTTGGTTCATTTGTTCTAGAGCACATAGACTGTGTTAAGTATATATCCAGGGTTTGAATAAGATTCGGCTAAGCCTGGCAGTGAGACTATTAAAACCCCCTGATCAACAGACCTCTGTGTGCTGTCCCTTACACATCGATGCAGGCTAGGGAATATTTTTGTTACATTAAATTTACCTATAAGGTAGTTTTAGAAACCATAAAGATCTTATTTCTTATGAAATGGTAATTTGATTTGTACTCTGATTTCTTTTAATAGATTAGGGGATTTCCTACAATCAAGATATTTCAGAAAGGCGAGTCTCCTGTGGATTATGATGGGGGGCGGACGAGATCCGACATCGTTTCCCGGGCCCTTGATTTGTTTTCTGATAACGCTCCACCTCCTGAGCTCCTTGAGGTAATTAAACCTCTTCAGTCACTTGTAGTAAGGGAAGCTTTTCCAGCCTGATGATAGAGGATATTAAAGCAGTAATAGCTTGCTGTCTTTTCAAATAAGCTCTTTCTCTTCTCTTTTAAAATGCTCTCTTTAGAGTGTTTTTGTACTTTCAGATGGGGAAAACTTGTCTGAAAATGGCTGCCTGTCGTAAGTTTTAGTGCCAAAACAATCGCACTGTGAGCAAAAGTGTACCTTAGCATCTTAAAAATAGAACGAATCCATTCTTTCATTTATTGTTCTCAAAACAATAGCTAACATTTATTGAGCACCTGACCATGTGACAAGCACTGTTCTGGTACTTTTATGTGGATTTTTCTCATTTAATTCTCCTATGAACACTTAGAGGTAGATACTGTTTTTAATCTCCATTTTAAATATGGGGACACAGGCACAGAGAGCCTCAAATTCATGTAAATATATGATAACGTGTAAATGTGTCTTTTTTACCTGTCTAAATGACTAAATGTCGTAGCCCGGCTACGCCCAGGTATTCTGACCGTGTGTATATACAAATGCCTCAGCACCACCGCGGATAGATGGCTGAGGGATAAAAGCAGAAATCTTCACAGAACGTTCTCGTGGTGTTTCTGTAACGCACACAGAAGTGTTGTTTGGGAAGAGCCTTATCTAGCTCTTGAGTTGCTTTGCTCTTAATGAGAGTGACGACGCTCACGCCAGCTTACCTCTGGGTTTGTGTCACATGGCCTCTTCCAACACCCTGTCCTCTGGGCCCCACAGATCCTCAGCGAGGACATCGCCAGGAAGGCGTGCGAGGAGTACCAGCTCTGCGTCGTGGCTGTGCTGCCCCATATTCTAGACACGGGTATGGCGCGCCCCTTTCCATTCGTTGTGCTGTGTTCCTTGCTCTGAGAACGCTTAATTGACAGATTAATTTTACCCATCCCTTTATTTTTACCTTAAAATTTTTTTGTCCATTTACATCAGGAGCTGCAGGCAGAAATTCTTATTTGGAAGTCCTTCTGAAGTTGGCAGACAAATACAAAAAGAAAATATGGGGGTAAGTTATCGAACTGTCTCAGTGTCATCCGGGTGGGAGAGTGCAGTGCTGCGCGAAAGTGGCTCCCTTTGTGTTTTCTGTAGGCTCTGTTCCTGTGCTCACTTTGGCATGTTTTTTTTATTTAGGATATAAAAACACTGACCACCTAGGAGGAAATGAAGTCATGCAGGACTCTTATTTATAACACACTTATTTGTACCCCAGGACACTTTTTCTTAGAGGAATCGTGTTCTGATGGTGGTTGGGTTCTAGGCTAGCAGGCAAAAACGCCATTAGTGACAGAGCTGAATTCTAGCACAGCCTTGAAGGCTAGATGAAGAAAGCAGAAGCAGAGGTGTGTACCCTCTTCTGAGTGAGGGCCGGACGCAGGCAAATGTTTAAAACAAAGCTTGTCTCTGTTTCCACTGTATTAATAATCTTTTTGCTCCATGTCGTCCGCATCCGCTGCTGTCCCAGGCACCACGTGTCCCTGCCGTCCCTCTCAGTGGCCTCACACCGCCTCCGTTAGTCCAGCAGGTGTTTACTGTGTGCCTGCAGAAGGTTGCGCACCCAAGTTCCTTATTATTCTCCCTTGTACGAGTGGAGGGAAGAGTTTTTTTTGGTTTGTTTTTTGAGCGCTTTCTCCTTTTTTTTCTTTTGGCCTCTCTGTGGGGCATGCGGGATCTTACCCCGACCAGGGATCGGACAGCCCGGGAAGTCCCAAGGGAAGAGATGTGGTTGAGCATTTTTGTATGTATTAAATAATGGCATATCCTTAACTTTTAAAAAGAAGTTGTTACACTGCTAAAGAATGTGCTTAATAACCCAAATGATGTTGGTAGGATTTCAGGTAACAGAGAAAATTCATCAGGTTTGTTGGACAGTATTTTGGGGACTGAGGGGAAAAAGTCCTAGAGATAGACCAGTCCATTTGGGGGACTTGGGGGTTAGGGTCTAGGGAACATAGGAGAGGAACTGTAGTTACTTCAGAGCACATCTAGAACACATTATTTTAAAAACGAATCTTTAATTTTTCATTTATTTTTTCACCTATTTCATTCAAAAGATGTGTAATCTTTTGTTCTTTAATTGTTAGTCAGGTTCTGACTAACTCAGAAGGGATCTTTGCCCTAAAAACCAATCTGCTTTTCTAGGTGGCTGTGGACAGAAGCCGGAGCCCAGTCTGAACTTGAGAATGCACTGGGGATTGGAGGGTTTGGGTACCCCGCCATGGCAGCTATTAACGCACGCAAGATGAAATTTGCTCTTCTGAAGGGATCGTTCAGTGAGCAAGGCATTAATGAGTTTCTCAGGTAATTTCTTGCTTCTTTGAGTTGTTTTTGTTTTGTCTCTTTGTTTGGTTCTATTGTGGTAATTGGCTCCAAACTAGATTTATATAGACTAGGCAATAAATGGAATAGTTTTGTATTTCACATTTCGGAGAATTAATGTTTATAAATTAGCTTTGGAGTCGTCTTCCTGTGCCGTGGAAGTCTTCCACTTAGTGAGTGATACTAGCACATTCCTCCTCTTGGGCCACCTTGCCATTCTGTGCACTTGGCATTGGGCTTGTCCTCATTCTCATAAAGGTCTCATATGGGCTACAAGCAGTCCCGTCTCACCCACTCCCGCCCTAGAATGCTTTGTACCCCTGACTTCAGGTGATAAGAGTTTCCACCCCTGGGCATTGGATTTAGAATGTAGTTATTTGAAAATGAGTGCACTTACTGAAGTGACTCCAAAACATGCAAACAATATGATAGGTTCTCAAACTCAAAACCCAATTTACAGAGCTCGCTAAGCTGCCCTGTTGTTCAACTCATCCTAAAACTGACTTAGTCGTCATTTAGGCAAATACAGAATGTTAACCCATACTTTTTCTTAGATTTGTGGTGATTTGATTAATGCCTCTTCCCTATTACCTGTGAGTTCTACAGAGTTGGAATCTTTTACACAAAACTTTACCCCTAGTCACCACTGTAGAGCCTGGCTGGTAATAAGCTCTTGTAAATATTTATGAATGAACGATTGACTTCTCGTCTCTGGAACAGTTTCAGTTAGGAAAGGCATCCCTACCCTCAGGGACATTGGCAGGACGACTACTCATAAGTGTGCTTCATCCTTTTTCAACAGCTAATTCCAATCTAGAAAACCTTAGAGGAGGGTAGGAGAGTAGTAAGTAACCTTGAGATTAAGCCTCTGGACTCACGTAAAGTACAGAGGAGGTAAATGCTTCCAGGAACAATAGCATGTTGTAAACTTGAGACAGTTACTTTTGCTTGAGATCATACAGGTCACTGGTTCTCAAACTTTGTGTCTTGGAGTTAACAGAAAACCTCAGATTACCAGTGGAGAAAAGTCAGCGGTAATGAATAGGAAGGAAACAAAACGTGGCAGTACGCTTGTTTCTAGCCACGTGTGAGTCTTCTTTTCTAAGAAGACTGGACTTGTATGGAGCATGTCACTAGTGAGGAGACTGCTTCCAGCTGGCCGGGGTGGGGCCTGGCAGAGAGCTGGTGGATACATCTGCTTGGTGGCGAGAGGCACCAGCCTACGTACTTGAAAAACCACACACCTGCCACGTTCTGCGTGGCTATTGGAAAACCAAGGACAAAAACCATCAGTGCGTATATGCAGGTCGTCAAACAACCCATAGAAGTTAATGGTAACAGTGAAGCTAAACTAACAATTTATAAATGTAGGGGCAGCAATTGAACACCCTGGTCAACCCAAGGTAAAATAAGTGGTTTCTGCATCTTTCCTTAAGAATGTCATGTTAGGGCTTCCCTGGTGGCGCAGTGGTTGAGAGTCCGCCTGCCGATGCAGGGGATGCGGGTTCGTGCTCCGGTCCGGGGAGATCCCACATGCTGCGGAGCGGCTGGGCCCGTGAGCCATGGCCGCTGAGCCTGCGCATCCGGAGCCTGTGCTCCACAACGGGAGAGCTCACAACAGTGAGAGGCCCGCGTACCGCAAAAAAAAAAAAAAAAAAGAAAATCATGTTATGGGAGTTCCCTGGTGGTCTAGTGGTTAAGATTCTGGGCTTTCACTGCCATGGCCTGGGTTCAATCCCTGGTCAGGGAGCTGAGATCCTGCAAGCTGCACGGTGTGGCAAAAAAAAAAAAGTCATGTTATGTTCTGTTGGAGTAGCAGCCAGAAAAGGCAAGTATATAATTGTGCATTATGCCCCCAGAAGTGAAAAAGGGCTTGAGTCATATATTGGCTTGGCCAGAAAGTTCATTCACGTTTTTCCGTAAGATGTCAAGCGAACTTTCTGGCCAACCCGGTATATGCGTTCGTGGCCCTTCAGTTTGAAGGCGGTGGCCATGCTTCTCCAGGCTTTCTTATTAGTTAGAAGAGAGATCTGTTAGCATTTAGCCTAAAAGGAAGATGGAGCCAGAGGGCAAGTGCGTAATTGAGCAATTAAAAAACCTTTTTTGGGGGCTTCCCTGGTGGCGCAGTGGTTGAGAGTCCGCCTGCCGATGCAGGGGATACGGGTTCGTGCCCCGGTCTGGGAAGATCCCACATGCCATGGAGCGGCTGGGCCCGTGAGCCATGGCCGCTGAGCCTGCTCGTCCGGAGCCTGTGCTCCACAATGGGAGAGGCCACAACAGTGAGAGGCCCACATACCGCAAAAAAAAAAAAAAAAAAAAAACCTTTTTTGTTTTTTTTTTAAATGATGATTGAACTCTCTGCCCTCAAGGTTTTGTTCCTTTTTGAAGGTTTGACATCTTTCCTCTAGTCTGTTTGCTTTTGCTGCTGACATTATTAAGTAGGAAGCTAGAGGCTGATGTCCGGAGATAATAAATAACCTGATTAAGGACACAAAACTAGTAAGCAGTAGAACTGCTGACTTTTTATTGTATACATGGGTTTGTGTTTCCCACATAAACCAGAGCCTGGATTGTCCTGTGCCTTTTTCCCTAGTAAATTGAGCCGTTCCGGCGGAGGTAGTAGCCTGTGTGTGACACAGGTCTGACTTGTTGCGCTGAATACCTCTGTTCTACCCATACAGCACAGTTCGTGGAATGGTGGTAAAGTGGGTTTTTACATATTTATAATCCTGTTTTCTGAATGTAACTGGTATGTGTACATCAAGGTTGCTCAGCGTGGGCACTGTCAACATTCTGGGCCAGGTAGTTGTTTGTCTTGTGCATTATAGGATGTTTAGTAGCATCCCTGGCCTCTACCCCCGGATGCCAGCACCGTACACACACAGGCGCACACACACACACACACACACACACTGAGTGATTTTTGAGTTGTGACAATCAAAAATGTCTTCGGACATTGCCAAATGTCCGCTGGGGGCAAAAATTGCCCTCAATTTCAGAACCACTGATACACATTGTAAAATATGCGAAATAGCCAATGGATAAAATTACCCAGTTTTCCCACCATGCAAAGTAACTACTGTCAGACACATACAGGAAACTTGATATCCTGTTCTTCTTTTACCCATATTCTTTTTTTTATCCGAAGTATAATTAATTTACAAATGTGTTAGTTTCAAGTGTACAGCGAAGTGATTCAGTTATGCATATATTTATATATGTATTCTTTTTCCATTTCTTTTTTGCATTATAGGTTATTACAAGATATTGCCTATAGTTCCCTGTGCTATACAGTAGGACCTTGTTGTTTATTTTATATATAGTGGTGTGTAAGTGTTAATCTCAAACTCCTAATTCTAAGCACCCTTCACCGAGGATATTTGGAGGCTCCTTTTATAAAGAAGCCTTGCTCACAGTCTGGTGATCGCCTCTACATCCTTTCAGGGAAATGTTTATCAATACCTGCCAAAGTCAAAACCTAACACACCGTTTCGTGGTACAACTCTTCTGTCTGAAAGCTTGACATGTGTGAAAATTGCCACCATCACCTATAGATCAATTGAGGGGGCCTGTGGTGCCTGTGGGCTGGTTCTAAGTGCCTCTGCTTCCTGTTAGAAATCTGAGAAAAGGATTTCAGTTTTAAGGTACCATCTTTCAAAAAGCCTTTCTAAAGTTAGTGTGGAATTTTGTTAATCAAGTGTTAGTGTTGGTCTAGACCATGTTCTGGGTCAACTTTGATCGTTTTTACACACTTAAGTTGTATTTTAGCAAGATATGTTTGCTATTTCGTTTTAATTATTGGTAGTACCTGGCTTTACCTACTGCCAAGGCCTTAGTCAGGAATGTCATTATATTGTCATCTGGTTACATTGTTGTCCCTGATTGAAAAGATAATAATACTGTTCATGAAGTGCTTTTCCGGGGAGAGAGGTGAGAAATGCCTCTATGCAAACATAGCAGGGTGTAGGGAAATCGTTAT